TATGAACAAGGAATTATTAATGAGTTATAGGTAGAACTAAAATATTGATCTTAGCTCTCTGTGAGGCACAGCAGGGCCTGAGCCAAAAAGTTTACATTGCAAGCAGCCTCATTGGCTCACCTCACTGTGTCTATTTTTTATGTGTGCTATACTGGAAAATTGTTAGAAATCACTGATATAAAGTTCTTACAACTGATAACAAGAAGATAAGCTGTCCAGTGAAAAATAGCCAAAATACAAATAATCATGTCACAGAAAAGGAAACATAAATGGCAAATAAACATATAAAAAATAGCAGTAAATGAAAAAGACAAAAACTCACAGACACAATGATTTAGTCGTTACCAGAGGAAAACAAAGGCAGGAGGAGATAGATAAGGGTAAAGGGGGTCAAAATATATGGTGACAGAAGGAGATTTGACTTTCAATGGTGAACACACTGAATATAGCATACAGAAGATGTATTAAAGAATTGTATACTTGAAACCTATATAATTTTATTAACTAATGTCACCTCAATAAAATTAATAAAATAAAATTTAAAAATACAACTTAATTAAAATGGAGAAAATGCAAAAAAGATCACTTTTTACATCCTTTAGATTAGAAATAATGAACTCTAATATACACAAGTCGTGAGCATTTAAATTGGTAAATAATGTTGGAAAATTATAGGACGCATTATGAAGTTAAATGTTTGCTTTGTTATCATCCAGAAATTGCACTTTTAAATGTATAACCTAGAGATATATGTGTACATTTAAACTAGAAAATGTTTAATATTACTCATAACCGTGTTGCTCATTAGAGCAAAACAGGAGAAACAATCTAAATCTCCACAGATACGCAGTTATGAATTGAGAGTATTTATATTTAACTTAGTGTAGAACAGGGAAACAAATTATTTTAATTGCAGTTATGTAAAATGAATAATTAAATGTTTTCATATATTCTGTATTTATACTTTACCAATTGCTTTAATCAATGTTAATATAAAGTTATTTTTAAAAATAGGCAAATAATTTCTGTTATAAACCTTTGAAGAGCAGGGTATGAAATTGATAATTTTTAGAATTTCTTTTTATGATAGCAAAGTAACAAATAGTTATGATGATTATTAAAGAGATATCTTTTAAATTTCTTTTCTGATACTATTGGTCAGCTCAAATGTTAATTTTTTTTATCTTGTGGTGAATGCTTTGTTGTAAATTAAGTTTTGCTTAAGGAATCATTGTATACAAGACAATATTTATGTATTTTCTTCCCGTACTGATTCTTAATTATATTATTCTTAATATTATGTTATGTTCCTAATTTAAGAATTGCACTTTAATTAGATATGGCTATTTGCATAGGATCATAAACAGTGTTTGAATTCATGAGCATGTTTTATTAAGAAATAATACTAAATTATTCACATGGTATAACGTGTCTTCCAAAGTATTTTGCTTTGTATTCTAAGCCAGACACTTTGGGGGCTTGTCTCTCTAGTGCAGCTCCCAGAGTTTGAGGTGCTGGATGTGGGACACCAACCTCTTGCTCCAGTGAGAGAAGTGCCTGTCTGCTGAGACACCTCCTTACTGTATGTTGCTATAGTACGGCGGGTTATTTTCAGGGACCTGTCTCTCTGCCTTTCCCGCCATCTTGATGTGGTCCTTTTATCCTTTGTTGTGGAGAACACCAGATTATCTAGATTTCAGATTATTTTCAAAGGGAAATGATCCATATGTAGCCGTAAATTTGATGTATCTGTGGGAGGAGATGCGTTCAGGATCTTCATATGCTGCCATCTTGGACTCCGCCCCCAAAACCTTTAAATCTGGTCATCTAGATTCAAATTTAACTCTAACATTTTTTTTTAAGCTCTACTATTTAATGGAAATAGCATACTGTGTTTTTCTGTGTTAGCTTTATAAAAGGTATATGCAAATGTATGGAAAACCACCCTCCACCTACATTTACTTTTTATAAAGCCTTCCCAAAGTAGATTTGCATTAATCATGCTACAAATACTTCAAATAAGAGTATTCTATAAACAGAAGTCATGCCATTTCATTGAAAAATTATTATAGAAGGTACAATGCAGCAAATAAAAATTGCATGGTAATTATAGTGATTGAACTTTAGGAATAGTCTGACATGATCTGCTGTCATGGCGTGGAATTCCATTTATCTGTATATTTATATCTATATCTATCTAATCTATATATATCTGTATCTCTCTCTATATATATGTCTGATGTGCATTTGAAATGTTTTTCTGCCATTGCTTTCTTTTTGTTTTCATTATATAATGCTATATATTTGATAATGTTTGTTTGTTTGTTTGTTTGTTTGTTTAGGCGAGGCACCTCGGTTGACCTCACAGATTGCAAGGACCTTGTCAGTTTACAATCTCTTATTTTTTTATTTTTTATGCCTATAGCTCCTGTTCTTTCTAGGTGGTCTCCCCG